CTCCGAGTTGCTGACCTTGGACAACCGCCCGAGCCGCGGCAACTTTTTGACTGGCATCTGCATCGACGATCTGGTGACCATCGAGAAGACGAGAGCCAGCAAACCTAAAGCCAATGCTGAGAGCGAGGGCTCGAACAAGTTTGAGCATAACTTGCAAGTCACCCTCGAGAAGCCTAGAGCCAGCAGACCTAAAGCCGATGCCGAGAGCGAGGGCCTTACAACTGCAGCTGAGAGGAGCTCATCTCTCTTGCACGCTGTCAGGTCGTCTTATGAAGCGGTAGGCCTGGAACGGAATCCGGACAAGGCCTTTGAGAATGAGGAGGTTGCGTCCTTCTGGGGAGCCCGTATCGATGGCAACACTGGCGATGTCCGAGCCTTGCCTGCCCGGACATTGCCTGTCATCTCTCTCACCGTGGAACTGGTCAGGATTGGCTTAGCGACGCGTGGCCTGCTTGAAGTGATTGCCGGCTGCTATGTTGCCATCTTTTCCTTTCGTCGCCGCCTGCTGTCTTGCATGGAGCTCGTCTACACCGAGGGCCGTGACCTGCCTCGACGCCAAACCTTTGTGATGACAGCTGGACTGAAGGACGAGCTTCTTCTGTGCGCCCTTTTGGCGCCCGTTGCCGCTACGAACCTGAGAACACAGCCCTCGCCTTGGCTCTCTGCGACGGATGCGTCGCTGGACTGGCAAGCTGAGGTTCGCACTTGGATCGGAGAGGCGCTCGGTCAAGAGCTCGCCCGGCACTGTTTGGCCAAGCCTGTTTGGAGCAAACTTCTTCGACCTTCCGAGGCTCGGTTGCGAGCCGCTGGGCTCCTGGATGCAAGCGAGGAGCTGCCTGAAGGAAAATTTTCCTGCCATCCTCTTTGGACCGAGTTGGCGACTGCTTTTCAGTACGAGCCTGTGTGGCGAAAAGCTTGTGAAGTCGGTCGACGCATAAATGTGTCCGAGCTGCGCTCTGCGCTGCGGGCCGAGGCCCGGACTGTTCGATCAAAGCCCTGCAGTCGGGCGAATCTTGCCCTGGATAGTCAGGTGGCTCTAGGCGCGCTGCTCAAGGGACGTTCGCCCAGCAAGGCTTTGAATAGAGAGTTGAGGAGGAGTTTGCCGCAGCACCTTGGCTATGGCTCGCTTCTGAACTTGTTCTATTTTCCGAGCGAGCTCAACGCAGCGGATGACCCCACGAGGAACAAAACTGTCCGACCAGCTGAGTCCGCTTCTCTGCCGAGTTGGCTTGCTCAGGCGGTTGGCGGCGACTTTGCGGCCTTCGACGACTGGCTTGCTTCTCGAGATGCCTTGCCGGAGGATGCGGTTGGCTTGCCTCCCGCTTCGGACTTAGTCAGTGTTGACTACGCTCCAGTGCCTCGACGGCAGCAGCGAACGAAGTGGCTCAGCGAGGTTCGAACCAAACGGGGGCGACCTAGACTTTGCAAGCCGCCTGTCCCCGAAGCTGTTTGGAGTCAAACCCTCAGCCCCGAAGCAGTTGCCTTCTTGAACGAGTTTCCCGACTACCAGTTTGTGACTCGTGGTGGATGGCCCCCCGACAGATCCAAGAAGGGTTTTCTTGACCTTTTTTAGTGGTTCTTTTGGGGTGGCTCATGCCACTGCTAAGCTTACGGGGGCTTGGACCTTAACGTTCGAGCTGCGCAGATCGGCGGAGGAAGACCTTTTGTGCCCCACTTTGCAAAGGCGCATCTTGCGACTCATTAAGTTGGGTTGCTTCTACGCTGTTGGCGGGGGCCCTGTGTGTTCTTCGATGAGCAGAGCCATTAGACCGGCAGTGCGCTCGGCCTCTCATCCGGAAGGCTTGCCGCAGTGCAGGCCAAGCATGGCTGAAAAGGTCAGGCAGGGCAACGAGTTGTCGAGCTTCATGGCCGCTTGTGTGGAGGCGGCAAACAAAGCTGGTAGCGACCATTGGACGGAGAACCCCCTCACCTCCTTTTTGTGGAAGCAACCGGCCTGGGTTGCTATCCAAGCAGCTGGGGACTCAGAAAATGGTCCGCGCCAAGGGCCTTTTGTCGCGGACTACTGCCGATTTGGGACCCGATGGAGGAAGAGGACCCGAATCGAAACGTCCTTGGCGCTGAAGGGTCAAAAGCTCCTCTGCTCGTGTAAAGCTCCTCACCAGCGCCTGATCTGGATATAGCAGGGAGTTCGGAATGATGTGGACGAAAGCTGCAGAAAGCTATCCAAGGGCTTTGAACCACTTATTGGCTCGGGCTCTTGCCGAGTCGATGAAGCCCTTGCGAGATGATGCTGCGTCAGTTTGCCGGAGCTCGTCCCGCAGGATTGGTGAGGCGAAAAACCCTGGACCTGCAGTTGGAGACCTCGAAGCCGTTGCTCTGGTTGGGGTACGACCGCAAGCTCTGCAGAGAAGAATCGTGGGAGAGTTCTTTGAATGGCTCGGCAACGCCCTCAGTCCTCCTGCGCTAGCTAATGTAGAGACTTCAGCCATGGTTTTCTGTACGCTCTTGCGAAGCTTTGGAAATCATTTGTACTCGAGCGGCCAACCTCTGTACAAATGGCGCCACCTCTGCGCTTTCTTTCAGAAAAATAGGCTGGCGTTGAGACCATTTATGCCTTTATGTTGGGACTTGGTCTCTCGCTGGGAGCGACTTCAGCCAACGACCCATCGAGAGCCTGTACCCCTAGCGCTTGTGAAGGCTTTGCTCTCGCTAGCTCTCAGCTGGAACTGGGTGCGCTTCGTTGTGGTGGCTGGCCGCTTTCTTTGGAGCTGCACGGATAGGAGAGCCGCTGCGAGCTCGACGCTCCCAAGTCCTGCTGCCTTCTGACGTTTTGCACGCCGAGCTGACTGCTTGCTATGTTCGAGTTGAGAACCCAAAGAGCCAGCACCGCGGGACGGGGAAGGCTCAACACTTCGCTGTTCGAGACGTGACTTTTGTTCGCTTCTTGGAACAAGCCTTGCAGAAGGACAAGCCCGAGACTCCGCTGTTTCCTGCCAGCCCGGCTACTTTCCGGCGACGCTGGCACAACTTGCTCAAGAGCTTGGGCGTACCTCGGAACCTGCGTTTGACACCTGGAGGCTTGAGGGCTGGAGGTTGCGTTCACTTATACAACCAGGGGACATCAATCCCCAACCTCATGTGGCAAATGCGAATCCGGCAGCAGACTACGCTGGAGAGTTATTTGCAAGAGATTGCTGCTTTGAACGCGCTCCCGGCTTTGACCCCAGAGGCCAGGAGATCCATCGAAGCGGCGTCTTCTTTGTACCCGTACCAGCTGCAAGCTTTCCGAGCATAGCAGATAGCGGCACCAACGCCTCGCAAGTCTGTTGTGGCCGCTGCAAGGTTTGGAAGAGTTCTGCCGAGGGCTTGAC